GGTGTGCGGATCAGTACATGGGCATGCAGTTTCGCGACCGTGGAGGCTGTTTCAAACCCGTCGGGCCCCTGGTGTCCAACAGAACATCCCAGATGCACAGGCTGCGCATTCGTTCCCACTCTAGCTGTTTTCAAACACTGAAATTGTTGTAGCAACCTCGTTGCCCCGAGAATGGTTGTGCTTGAGGCGGCCAGACCGGTTGCTGTGTTGGCACAGATTTGAGAATTTAAACAAGCATGCCCTCATCGTGCGGTAGGCGCAAGGCTTGCAGCCATGTATGTATGTTTGCGTTCCCGCGCTCAGCTTACTCCAGCGTGCGCATTTGCACATACCTGCCTGCTGGGCTGCATGGGGATGCTTGGGACCCCCGGCATAGCCTGGGGTATTCCACGCTTCCTGGGTTTGTGGGCCTGGTCGGGGGTCCTACTGCAGGACACCACGCGCTGGCATACATGCACTGCATTCACGATGTCAGGCAAATGCCAGGTTGCATTGTCCTTTCAGACTGGCCTGTGCCGGACGGGAGTTAGTTGTTCTAAGGCGGCCTTCTTTTCCGTTGCACTAAGAAGTGCGGTCGCCCCCAGCACAACCTGCGGCCAATCACTTGGCACCTTTGCACCGTACGAGTGAGGTCGTTTGAAACTTGCTCGGGGTGAACGAACTTTTCTACTGGCAGATGTTGATTGTTTCAGACTGTAACACCTGCCCTTTGTTGGTCTGTTCGGCAACATGCACCCGCCACAACCCCACCATTGACCCAAGTATGCGCCGGTAGCGGCCGCCACAGTGGCAGCCGTCCAAGATGGCCGCCACCTTGGATGGCCGCCCCTGCCCAATCTTGTAAAAAAGCATGGACAATTACAAGATTGCCAATGACAAACCGGGTGCTCGATCTGATTTGAAAGCACTGAGCAATGCAGAATGTAGCCACACAGAATTCTGTATTACAATGCAAGAGAAGAGCTGCTACAGAGGATTTCACGCGGTCTAGAGCAGACCTGGGGGGTGGCTAATTTCACAGGCTGGGTGAGTTATGCGGGATGAGTAGGATTGAACTCAGGAAAGGCTCACTGATCAGCAGGCTGAATACTTGCCACAAAGGTGATCAGCCCAAACAGTTCCTTTGGTATCTGCGTGTGCTCCATCCGAGAGTGCAGCGGGCTGGGTGCCCTCCACAGTCAGCACAGGAAGCATGGCAGCTGCCGCAGTGCGGGTGCCAACGGTGCAGCGGTGCAGCAGTGCAGCAGCATGGACTGGAGCCTGTGTGGTCCCGAATCCATAAACATCCTTACGGCTTTTAGAGTGTCCTACTGGGCGTTTCTGAGCGGCATCCTGTTTTCGGCGACGGTGTACCTCTCCCGACGGTGTTGACCTGTGCGACTGGTGAGCATAAGCAAGCGGTACAACGTTGTCAACATATCACGTTTAATTTTGTTTTTTCCGCAATGATACATCCACAGTAAACTTGTCAGGCACTGATCTGAACACACACTCGAAAAACTTGCCGAATTGGCTGCATATAATTGACACAGCATTGAATATGCTCTCACAAATTCCTCCACGCGGCCTCCATGCCGCGGCCACACCAAGCATGCGGCCATGTCCTAACACAACAGTGCCGACGCATCGGACGACGCGTCGTCGCCAGGCAGCAGGCTATGGCCACGGCGCCGGCACCTGGCGGAGAGGGCCGGCGGCCGCGGATGCAAACCCTGAAATGTGTGTCATTGTGGACGAACTCAACACCGTGGTCGGCGCCGCGACGCGGCGAGAGACAGTTGCACACCGCCTTCTCGGGCGCGGGGCGTACGTGCTCGTGTTCAATTCGCAAGGGGAGCTGTTCATGTCAAAGCGGAGCCCTAAAAAGGACTGCTACCCCAGCGCCCTGGACGTGACAATCTCGGGAGTGGTCAACGTGGTGCGTGCGGGGCGGTCAACGATGGCCGACACAGACATCTGCATATTGTGCACATGGAATTGCCCGGATGTTGGTTTTTCCTCAAGTACCTGCGGCTGCCTTCGCGGCGACCCGGGTGTAATGAGCTGCATGCGCTCCAGCACAATGACTCATCGTTGGTTCACTCGCTCCACACCATCAGCCGGGAGGCCAATTGCAAAACCATCCCAGCCACCCCCAGGCAATTGCATGCAACCATGCTCGGGCGTCAAGCCCACTTGTGCCGACGACCGCATCGCCACAGGGCGAGGAGTACGCTGACACCGCTGCTAGGGAGCTGCGGGAGGAGATTGGGGTTCCTGAGGAGGAGGCGCTGCGCACGCTGCAGCAGCTGTTCGTATTCCCGTACCAGGTGCGGCTGGGCTGTATATACGGCTCGCCTGGATGAGTGCGCCTGCACAGGCAATAGCATGTGGGTCCATGCATGTGGATGTGTGTTGTGCAGCACAAACAGCGTGAAAACGCAATGTGCGTGGGGGTTGGGTATGCCGGGCAGAGGGGAGCAACTAGGGAGATGCTAGTTCGATGTTTGACTGTGATGGCTCAGCTCATCAGCCTATTGTCACCAATGCAACCTTGCCGCCATCCCGCCGTCCGGGCCCTGCACCTCAGGACTCTGTCTGCCACGTGTGGGGCTGCGCGTTCAGCATCACATGGGATGGGCCCGTCGCCTTCACAGATGCTGAGGTCGAGTGGGGGCGCTTTGTGGCGCTTCGGGAGGTGCGGGCCCGCCTGGAGGCGGACGCCACTGAGTTCACGCCTGTTGGGCGCCACATTCTGAGCCTCTACTTAACGAGTCAGCAGGAGGGACGGCCAGGGCAAGGGCAATAGCAGGGGCGAGGCGGCGCCAGCGAAAGCCACGGTGACGTTCTGATCTTCTGTGCAGGATGCCAGCTGATGCCCAACTTCCGAAAATCCTCGCTCAATAATCAGTCTTTGTCAAAAAAAAGTTGACTTTTTGTATAAGAAGTTGACGTTGGTGCATGCTAGCCAAAAAACCGTGGACATGTACCCATGCTCACGCATTGCTGCGTGACACACTTGACGTACAGGCGAGTTTGCGACCACGGCAGGTTCAGCGTGGCATGTTGACCTTGCCCTTACGCGCATTGTCATATGATGAGAAGATGGATTTGAACTTGATACTTGTTTCACAATGCCACGTCGATTTGATGACGCCTGCAGGGGGCCGAGCGGTAACATCGCATATGGCACAATCAGTCAAACCTGGCGCTTGTCTACAGCACGAGTGGTGCCTCAAGTCTGTGAAATGCACCACCAGTGCCGTAAAACTTATCTCCATGCGAGCAAAATTTTCTCATCTGCACTGGCAGGGCCACAACACGCTTCAGCCTTGCATGAAAGACCGTCGCGGCGGGCGCACGAGCGGTCGCCCCTCCGCCCCGGGGATGTGGCACGAACCCGCAGCCTGGATGCCGTGCATTGCACAGTCTCGTGTGTAAGTAGTGCTTTCAGTGCTTCGCACTGACAGCTTAGGAGATCTCGTGGTTACATCTCGGCCCCATCAGCGACACCACCTTCCAGCCGCAAAACCGCTTGTTTGGATTTGATCGCAACAGCGCAGTCTAGCAATGCTGGCCGCTCCACCTGCTGCGAGCCGGCCCCGCCCGCCTCGCGCCGCCGCGGTGCCGGGCGAAGCCCGCGCCACGCGCCGCCCGCGCCTTGCTTCACGGAGGCTGGCCGTCTGCTGCACGGCTGCCGCGAGCACAAGCAGCGGTCCCGGCGGCGGGGCGCAAACCGGCGGCGAGCGGCCGCGGGAAGACTGGGGGACCATCAGCAGCGCGGGCGGCAGCAGCAGCAGCAGCAGCACTCAGTCTTCCGACAGCGAGGATGGCGCGCAGCCCTTCCAGGAGGGATACTATGATTGGCGCTGGGGCAGCAGGATCAAGTACTACCAGGCGGGTGACAGCGGGCCACCCTTGGTGCTGGTGCATGGGTGAGCGCCCCGCTCTGGCGCCGCGGCTGCACCTGCACGCCCCAGCCGTGCACTTGCACGCTGCGCTTGCGCCGCGGCGCTCGCAGCGGCGAGGGCGGCAACGGGCGGCTGGCCTCTGCGGTAGCCGTGCTCTTCACATTCGGCGACTGCGTCCCCGCCGTCGCAGCGGCCGCGGTGCAGGCTGGCTGCTCCTTGCGCTGTCGCCCTTCATCCAACCCCCATGCGTTTCAGCCGAAACACCGCTGTCCCCCCCCCACCAACCAGCTACCCCACCGCCGTCCTTCACCCTTTCATCCGACCACCCCTGCAGGTTCGGCGTCGGTGGTTACCACTTCTCCCGCAACTTCCGCCAGCTCAGCGAGCGCTTCCGGGTCTACGCATTTGATCTCTTGGGGCAGGGCGGCAGCTGGCCGGGCAGCGCGGGGGAGGTGGAGCCGGACCCCGATCTTGGACCCCTGGTGTACAGGTGGGCAGGGCGCAGGCGCCCTGGCTCTCAAGGCAGCCGGGTTGCATCTCCGGGCTGCGGGGGTATGTGACACCGCGGGGTGACGTGCAGCAAAATGGCAATCAGGGGGGTTGGGGCCAATGCAGAGGTGCGCCCGCGGCCGTCCCTGCGCCTCGGGCCGCAAGCAGGAGCACGTCGGGCTGCTGCCTGGGCTGATCGACACGATCGCCGCCGCGGCATGCAGCCGTGGAGGCGAGCGCATACGCACGCTCCCAACTCGTGCGCGCACACGACAGAGAGAGAGAGACAGAGAGGCGCGCACCCCACATGCCCCCCCCCCTCACACATGTGCGGGCCCGCACTCAGCGCGGAGACCTGGACGCGGCAGCTGCTCGAATTCATGCGCGACATCGCGGGCGTCGCCCCCGGCGCCCCCGCCTATGTGGCGGGCAACTCCCTGGGCGGCTTCCTGGCGGTCAACCTGGCGGGGCAGCACCCTGAGATGGTCAAAGGGCTCGTGCTGCTCAACGCCAGTGAGTAGAGGGATCAGCGGGGAGGCGCGGGCGACGGAGGGAGCGGCTGGGGCTACAGACAGCAGCCGGGGATGGCGGGACCAGCGGGGGAGAGAGGGATCAGTGTGGAGCGGCGCCAGCTCCGCGTGGCGGGGCCAGGCATCGAAAGCTGAGGGGCCGGCGAGCTTCTTATGGCTTTGCCAGGTGTTGTTGTTCAGAGTCGGGGTGGGTTGGTGTGGTGCGTCTGCCGCCAGCGGATGGCTGATGTGGGCCGGGGTGGGGAGCAAGCAGCTGATGTTGTGCGTCGCACGCTTGGTTTTCCGCTTCAGCCTCGCCCACACTGCAAAACCTTGGTTGCGACCGGCGCCCAGCGCTTCCGCAGCACCGTGCCGGCAGGCCCGCCGCCGCGGGTGATCACCCAACGCCATTGCAGCCGAGCGGTCCGCCATGCACGGGACCGCCCTTATTTGTCTCAAAACCTCACGTGCCATGCCGGCCCGCCGCACCTGAGAGCCCGCTACCCCCTATCAAACCCCTACCCCTCACCCCCCCCCCCTGTTCTCCTGTCCCTCCCTTCCCCTTCACCAAACCTTTTCCGCCCCACCTCCACTTCCCACCCCGTCCCCCCTTGGC